CTCCATTCAATCCCCCAACCTGGAAACAGTCCCCACCACACTCACTTCCCTCCCAAGGCCTCCAGGAGTGAGAGTGGAGGCGGGGTGGGAGGTGGAGCCTTCCAGCGCCCAAGACCCCCTCCCTGGCCCACTCTGGACTCACGCCTCCCTCTCTGAGGGTGTCTTCCTCCCAGCTGCTAACTGGCAGCCCCTTCCTTCCCCGCACCCACTGCACAAGCAGCTTCATTGAGGTCCACGGGAGATGGCACCGCCCTTCAGAAGGCAACCTCCGATGGCGATGGCGTTTGATATCGTCTCCTGGGCTCCCTCTGCTGACAAGGTCCCCGTGACTTCCTGGTTCTCTCCTCGTCCCCGCCTTTCCTAGACCTCCCCACCATTCTCTCCCTGGGCCTGCCCCTGAGGTGTCAACTTTCCCCTAACTTCTGGGTTCATTTCCTTTGCTGGACCTCTTCTCTCAGCAACCCCAACTATGGGACCACCTCCCATCTCTGGTGCCCCCTCTTACCTCACCCCCCACCCCCAAATTCAGACTTCCAATTGGGCCATTCCATCTGGAGTTCCCAGAAGAGCCTCAGCATCACAGGGAGATGCCTTTTGAATAAAAAGCATGTTCAAGTTCAACTTTTGCATGTGGAGATGAAGCCATCCACTGTTTTCACAAGCTAATGAGACCAATTATTTTCTCGATCCTAACCATGCAGAGCCCGGCAGAACCTCATGGGCGGGCTGCCGAGTGACGGCACCCGTGCCGCCCGGCCGTGTGGAGTGGGAGGCCCCCTCCCTACCCAAAAGGGGCATCAGAAAGCCTAGCTGGGCGCCGGGCTTGTGTGTTCCCTAAAAGGGAACATGGGTTTGAGAAGCTGAGAAGACACACTGGAGAGAAGGACCACCTAGTCGGGGAGCTTGAGCAGAGCTCAACCATCCTGCTGTCTACCATGACGATTGGGGGGATTTGGGACATGCTTCAAGAGGGAAATAGAAAACCTTAAAGCAGGGGCACACACAGCTCTGCTGGGGAGGGCAGCTGGGCCAGAGCGATGGCCTCCCCCCGAGGGACCGGCCAGTGCCCTCTCTCTGCAAACTTCATTCCTTCCTGATGGTGGCACCTTCCTCTGGACTGCAGCAATGGGAGATATGGCTGTAGTCCAATCACCCCGTCTCCTGTGATGAGGCCCAGGAGCCTCAGAGGGGCTGGAGCGTGGCTCTGGAGGAGACCATGAGGAGGAGGGGGGTTATGACGCATCACCTTCTCTGAGTCACAAAATGAGGATGGCGGACCGTCACTGACACTGCCATCTAGACCAGGAAGTAAAACCAGGAGGACCCAGTGCCATTCCCGGAGCCGTCCCAGCTCCTCCTTATCCATCCTGTCTTGTCTGTAACAGTCACTAATCACTCGCTTCCTCAAGAGGGTCTGTGCGCCAGTGTGGGGAAAGCCAGGGCAAGCCTGGGGTAGACAGATCACCATTCCCCTCCCTCTGGGATAAAACGTGTGGGCCAAGCAAGAAGGCCAGAAGGGCCAGAGAGGCAGATGGGTAAAGATGAAATAGGCAGGCCCTTGGGGATTGGCTTTGAGGGGGAAGAAATCTGAGACAGAAAGATGTATCAATATTTGCACAGGTAAAAGGAACTTTGGTGGGCCCTGTCTTCCCTAAGCGGTGAGGGGAGGGGCGGGAGATGGAGAAGAAAAAGAGAATAATTAAATGCCCAGCTGCGGAGCCACTCAGAGGCAGGGGAGTGAACGGCAGACCTGAACTTCAAGGCAGACAGAATTATGGCCTCCAGCGTGGCCTTGAGATAAGGGCACCTGATGATAAGACCTTCTGAAGAAAAGGTGGAAAGCAGAATAGAACCTCATCTGAACCAGACACAAAGAAGCGGCTCCCACACGTAAGGCTTGGTTCACTTGACCTCAAGCAACAGATCACAACGCCTTTTCTAAGAGAAGGGTGCCAGGAAGCTCAAGGGGCTCAAGAAAGAGGGCTGAACTAGGCTGTGCGCGGGGTCTTCCAGTCTCTAAGGATATGTCTCAGCAGGATTGTAGTTTCCAAATCCTAGAAAACTGATTAAGACCAGGACCTGCCTTGGGGCTGGAAGAACCCGTTTGGCAAAGCAGGTACTTTCGGCAAGAGTTTTCTAAGCTGAAAAGAAACTTAAAGTAGGATTTAGATATACATTGAGAGCAGGAAAAGAGCTCCATGAAAGTGATGGGGAGGGCTCAGGGAGCCCCGTGCTGGGGCCACCAGGCAGTCTTGGCAAGGGGCGGCTGGGTGCAGCAGGCGTTCCAGGCCACTGCGGAGTGTGCGTGGCATTGTTGCCTAGGAGCTGTTCTGGGTGTGGGGAGGAAAAGGCAGGGGAAGAGCTTTGGTCTGTTAAGAAACCAGAGTGGTTTCCCAGCAGCCGTTGGCCTGATGGTCAAGAGGATGTGGCGGGGCAGGGGTGGGTGGTCCAGCAGGAGAGTGAGGAGAGTTCTGGTCCAGGCCTGAGGCCCCGATGCCAGCTGGAGGCCATTCTGAGCTCTGTGATGTGTGCACCTGCCCGTGCACACACGGGGCTGCAGTGCAGAGAGGACGAGAGAGGTGCCTGAAGGGGCCGCTTCCCAGCACCGGGTACCCGCAAAGGGTCCTCCACCAGGTTTAACTGCAGGTGGTGAGTATATGTCCTTGTCCTATGCCACCAACCCCAGAAGCAGATCTGTTTCCAGCACCTCTTTCCACACTTCTACCTGGGACCCTCTTCTAAGCAGCTTCAAGCTTTTTTGAATTTTCCTGTTCTTCTCGTCTAGCTGCTGCACGCACATGGTCATCAGCAGATGGAAAGGCAGGCCAAGTCCTTTGCCTACCCCTCTTTACCCTGGGCCGACAAGTGTCCCTGCCCTGGGGCTCTGGCTTTCGGTCCTCACTTCTGCTGCCTTCTCTTCCCTTTCTGCCCATCTCAGCTGTTGCAGTTTTCCTTCCCCAGAAGCTGCAGTTGCTGAGATGAGAACCAGGAGAAGGAAGAGTGGCCTGACTTGCAGGAAGGGGGACCCCTTTCAGGGCCCGAAACTGGGCTCTTGTCTAACACTCGGAAATGAATTGTCCGAGGAGACACACGTGCTGACAAAGCAAGAGATTTTATTGGGAAGGGCACCCAGGTGGAGAGCAGGAGGGTAAGGGAACCCAGGAGAACTGCTCTGCCGCGTGGCTCGCAGTCTTGGGCTTTATGGTGATGGGATTAGTTTCCGGGTGGTCTTTGGCCCATCATTCTAATTCAGAGTCTTTCCTGGTGGCGCACGCATCGCTCAGCCAAGATGGATGCTAGCGAGAGGGATTCTGGGAAGTGGACGGACAGGCAGGGTCTCCTCTCGACCTTTCCCGAACTCTTCCGGCTGGTGGTGGCTTATTAGTTCCATATTCCTTATCAGGCTCTCCTGTCATAAAATAACTCATGCAAATGGTTACTAGGGTGCCTGGCCAGGGTGGGCGGTTTCAATCAGTGTGCTTCCCCTAACATGACCACCTGCTGGTGAGCAGATGAGGCCCCAGACCTCTCTGGCATCCCAAAGACTTGGAGGGCAAAAGGAGGAAAAAGACTTCCATCCGCCTGGAGTTCAACTTCCCTCCCACCTTAAGCTGGCAACTCCAGCTCTTCTGGAGTGGCCCTCCTCCAAGAGCAGAGCCTTCCTAGCCTGCAGGGGAAGCTGAAGTCCCTGTCATCCTGCCAGGAATCTTCATCTGGAGCCTTAAAAAGCCCAACTTAATGGTGTCGGGCAGACGGGCAGGTCACCAGTGCCTGGGGGGAGCCCTACACCCACTCCCCAGAAAGGGGGATGAAGACCAGGATGTTCAAGTCAAATGATAAGGTCAGTAGTGTCGGGGGTGGGGCAGGGTGACAGCAGGTGACCCTAGAAAGTGGAGCTCGACCTGGAAGGTGACAGAGGGAGTGCGCCAGGGTGTTTGAGTGGAAGGAAAGGCACTCTCGAGATCCCTGCAGTCCCAAGTCATCACCACCCACCTCCCTCCTGGCCGCTGGCCCCACCGCTGCCCCCAGACCTCTTTCTCCCAGCCCTCTGCCCCCTGTGTCTTCAAGATGGCCCAAAGGACCGGAAGCAGCCATCAGAGGGAGCTTTGGAAACCCTCAAGCCATGGCTGAACCAGATATGCCTGGTGTCACCCCGCTCGTTTGAGTGTCCCCCACCTGCTTCTCTCAGGAGCATCGTGGTTGTCCCTCCATGGCTCTTACTTCCACACAATGGCTAAGGGCCAGAATCCAGAGCTGAAGTCACAGGGTAGAGTGTCACTGTCCTGGGTGTGGAGGAAGATCTTGCCTCTCCCCACAGGTCAGCCCCCAGATGCCCTCTATGAGGCCCGAGGTGTGGGGAAAGGTGGCTGCGATGGGGTTGTGTGGGGGTGGTGTGCAACGAGGAAGCCATGAAACACACAGGCTCCCACCACCCCTCATCTGGAGCCTGCCAGTCCCTGATAGTGCTCCTCGTCCAACTCTTCTAGAAGACCAAGGCTGCTCTTCTTCCCATCCATCCCAAGTCCGCCAGTGCTCCGCCGCCACTGGCTCCTGCCCCATCTTCCTGGCCATTCTAAGTCCTTCCTTGGTGATGCTTCCTCTTCCTCTTGGAAAACCCACCCCCTCCCACCACATTCCACCGCATCACCACCTGACCCTCTTCCTCCCATCTTCATCTATCAGCAGTCCCAGGGCCTCCCGAGTCCACCACACCCCACCCCCCTCGAGGCTTGAAAGGGTGCCTGGCACATAGTAGGTGCTCAGTAAATATTGTTGAATGAATGAATTGAAGCTCTGGCCTCAGGTTTTATCTTTGCCCCTATACGGCTCACCCCCCACCCCCGACCCCGCCACCGACAGCTCAGTTGGTAAAGAATCCATCTGCAGTGCAGGAGACCCCAGTTCGATTCCTGGGTTGGAAAGATCCGCTGGAGAAGGGACAGGCTACCCACTCCAGTATTCTTGGGTTCCCTGGTGGCTCAGCTGGTAAAGAATCTGCCTGCAAAGTGGGAGACCTGGGTTCCACCTCTGGGTTGGGAAGATTCCCTGGAGAAGGGAACAGCTATCCACTCCAGGGTTCTGACCTATATTATAGACTATATATAAAGCCCATGGGGTCTCAAACAGTTGGACACAACTGAGCAACTTTCGCTTTCATACTGCCCCCACCGTGATGATTTTAACAGCTTCTGAGGGACTTGGTCCTCACTCTTTTCCACTTGGGCAACCCATCCCCACAGCCACACCTTGAGCCCAGACATCACTTAAGGGGCCATCCTAGGTTGTAGAGAGGCCCTTCTAAGCCCAGCTGTAGAAGCCCTTCTCTCCAGGGCTCATCTCTACAGCTGCCCTTCCCAGCTCCCAGGTCTCCAGTTCTGTTCTTGTTGTTTCTCTGCCTTGTGGTCAGTCCATCGAAAGCCCTCCCCTTCCCTTCCCTCTGGGCCAGTGCCTAGCCTGGGAACCATGTGAAATTTCATTTTCTCTGGTCTTGCACTTGGGTTCCAACAAGAGAAAAACAAAGAACTGCCTGCCAGGTTTTCCCATCACAGAGGTGTAATCCACCAGGCAGCTGGGCCCCCCTCCACCGCCAGGGAGCAGTCCATTCAGGAACACTTTTTCCCAGACCTTTACCCTTAGAACATTGTCCGCAGCCCCAGCCGTGTCCCTTTCCATGACATAGCCACTCAGTTCCCTGATAAGAACCGGGGTCATCAACTCTGAACTCCCTTCCCTGGCCCTCCCACCTCAGGTTATCCACCCCAATCCCCTCCCTCACCCCCAGAACCCTTCTCACCCTTTTAGGACAATTCCTCCGCTTGGGCTCTTGGGTTCACCTCCAGCCGAGTCTCCCTCACCCCAATGTCCCAAGAAATTATTTCTGATCTTACCTCCCTCCCTTCTTCCCACCAACTTGCCACCTCCCTCCAATTAGCTCTAAGACCTTACCTCCACCATGCCTCTTAGCTAGCATCCTCTTTCAAAAAAGCCACTCTCCAGAAAACTTCTGGAAAGATCTTTGCCATCCGTAGATGTCTTGCCCGCCCACCCCCACCCTGTCTCCTCCACTCAGGCCATTGGCCTTTGCTCCCTAGAGGCGAATGAATCTGAGCTCCCATAGTGCAACATTCCCTCATCCTTCCATATCCTACAACCTTTCCTCTTCCTTTTAAATCACAGAATACATATGTATTCAAATCATACCCCAGAGAGTCAAATAGTGTGACTCCTCTCCGAGCCCACTCTGAATCCCATCCTCCAGAGGAAAGTGCTCGAGCACGTGTGGGTCCTTCCAGACTTTTTTCCAAGCACAAACACATGTAGTTTCATGTACACAAACGGAAGTTTGTTGTAAAAACAGAAATGAGGTCCAGGTGCACACACCGAAGGAGCAGAGCAGATTCAATGAATGGACCGCGGTTTCCTCCTCAGCGACGCGCCGCCCTCCCTCTCGGTGAAGCTGCCTTGTGTCTTATCCTATGGAGGGGCTGTGTATTGAACGACGTTTTTAACATTGCAGCAGCTGTCCCTGCACGTAGATCCTCACGTATTCAAGCATTTCTGTTGGAGAGAGTCCCCACAGGGGAACCGCTTTTGATGCTTCAAATGGCCCAGCAAACAGGTTGTGTCCCAGCTTCCCTGCCCACCCACCTGCAGCACAGGGGGTGGAGTTGGGGGGCTGGCTTTTGCAGCAAAGGCCCCACCTCCCACTTCCACCTTCAAAGTCTGTGGTTGGATTACTTCTTACCTCCTTCTCAAGCCTCCTCTACCACTTCACACTGAGCCATCCTCCTCTGCCAACCTCTTGAAAGTTGTTTTCTGACTTTTCCCTGTGTTTTCCAAGTGGCTTCTTATATAATCTTTATGCTAATGGGCCTTAGATGGGTCTTTTTAAAACCCCTCCCTGCAGCCTCCAGACCCACTTCTTTCCAGGTGCCCCCAGGAACTGCACAGCCAAGCCATTCAAGTGAGCGGCCCAATGAACGAGGATTGCACAGGTGAGTGTGAGGAAGAGGGGAGCCCAGACGGCCCCTTCCATTCACGCATTCTACAAATATTTATTGAGTACCTATTAAGTGCCAGGGCATGGCAAAAGAGGCAGGGGGCAATGGTAAACCCAACCGGGCAAGACCAGTCTTGGAGCAGAGAGAGACATTAATCAGATAATCACACAAATAAGTGTGTAATTTCAAAGTGTGCCAAATGCCATGAGGCAGTGGCTTGTGGAGATATCCCTGACAGCTGCCAGGTCCAAGGGGCCTGGGAAGATGGGCCTCAGGGAAGACACTGGAACTGAGATCTGAATGATGGGCAGGCTTTGAGCAGATGAGGCAGGTGGGGGATGAGCTCTCCATACTGGAACAGAAGGCCTGGCCAGAGGGGAGTAAGACCCACTCCAGGGAACGCAAGGAGAGAGGACAGAGTCTGATATTTACCTGAGGGCACGGGAAGGCTTGTGGGTAGAGAGGCAGGCAGTGGGCTAAATCAGATGTGAGTTTTGCGAGATTACTGCTCTTGACCCTTGCCTGCCTTTCTAGCCACAGGAAATAACAGAAAAACACTTGTTTCCCCTGCTTGCCCTCTCAGACCACAGGACCTTGGATTCAGAAGGCACTGATGGGGGTGCAGCAGGAAGCAGGAACTTAGTCCTGCCTTTCAGCGGTTACCGTGGTTCCAGCCCTATACTCTGCCTTTGCAGATGACACCCGCCCCTTGACCGGACGCTCCAAATCCTCCCACATGTCACTGGGGACAGAGAGTTAGCATCTGGGCCACAGCGAGGGTGGGCATGCTGGGCTGGCTTTTGACCAATCAGTCTACTCTTCTGTTCTGCCAAGCCCACCTCTGGCCACCAGAACATGCTCTTCTCATCTCTAGGGATCTGTGCCAGGCAATGCTCTCTCGCTGGTATATATTTTTCATTCACTGGTATATATTCTGCTCTTGGAATCTGAGCACCTCTCAGTAGAGGCTAAGAAATGCTGATCCCTGCAGAGTAAAGAAAGTCACTTAACTTGGCCATGGGTCCCATTATCCATCTAACTCTCCAAATGGTGGTCTGACCACAGGCCACTCAGGGTCTTCCAGGGGCACCATCCTAAACAACAGAATAGGGGCATGGGTCTGGAGCCCCCCGCCCCAGCCACCTCTCGGCCTCTTGGCCTTTTTGCCCAAGAACCACCCATTATCTACCCCAAGAGGCCAAGAGACACCTTCCTTGTCTCCTCCCCCACACTGCCACTGAATTTTGAAATACATCAGGTGGCCGGTCTCCCTTTCACAGCACCTGGGCAATCCTGTATTTGATGCCTCAGCCCCCCTCGACTAGCACAAGAAATGCCAAGGCCCAGCCAAGGCCACCTCCCTGGCCATCTCATCCCCTTGGTCTGCGGCCCTCTCAGGCCCATGGCGTGAGGACAGAAAGGTTCTTTAAGAAACAGGCCCCCCTAATCCACAGCAGCCCTGCATCCATTAGTCAGCCTCCCGTGACACATCACTTGAGTTCACCCTCAAGCTGTCCACACTGATTACCAACCACTAACACGTGCCTTCAGAGTCGAAGGCAACTGCTGAGAGCTGGGTCTCTAACTTTGACCTGGGAGTAAAGAGGGGAATCCCCAAGAGGGATGCAACTGTCTGGGAGACAACCCTCCTTTCTGGATTTTGGTTCTGAAAGTGTGGAAATAAGAGCCGGTTCCATTCCATTTCAAACACCTCCAATGAGAAGGCAAATGCTTCCTGCAATAACAGTACTAAGAAGTTTAGGGACAAAAATGGAGCTGAGAGCCCTTGAGGAGACTGAAGCTTTCAGGAATTAAACAGTCAGTTGGCCCACACACTAAAAAGATGTACGGGTGATTTCTGGAGTCCTTTCACCTGGGCAGCCACTAGGCTCTCACCTAAGTTCTCCCACCCGCACTTTGGGCCCCCAGCAAGGGGTTGCTGCTACCTGGGTCAAAATGGGCTGAAGTGCTAGCAACAAGCCCTCACTGACCCCACTTCACCCACAGAACCTCGCAAATACTCTTCTCCTGCCATGGTAGCACCTGCGGATGGCTGCAGGGCCCAGGACACCTCCAGCAGCTCCTGGAGTCCAGACTTCAAGAAACACTTCCAATATTTGATGGAAAGTAGACATCAAAGGGTGGAAGTACTTTTCCTGGGCATCTTGTCCATCCCCAGCTGTTCTCAGTGATGTACACTACTCAGAGAAGGTAGGATGGACTTGCTTCCTCCCACACACTGACCAGGACTGGTGGGAGCAATGCCCCCTCCTACTCCACGGAAACAGGAACTGGGCTGCCCGGCCCAGAGAAGTCAGCCACCCACCTCTGCCCAGGAATGTAAATACAAGGCCTCTGATGGGCTCCCCAGAAGCCCTGCTCCTTCCAAAGTTGAAAGCAATGATGATCTACAAAAGAAATTGTTGACAAATGATTAAGTTTCTCCAAAGGACACTGCTAAGAAAAGGAGCCAAGGGACTTAGAACACCAGGAAAACGAGAGGGGTTTTTGGGGGGTTGGTCTCAGATCTTCCGATTGCTGACCCCTGACTTCTGCCCATTATCGAAAGTGTGTGTGTGTCTCTCTGAGGGCCCAGGTAAGGAGGACTTGGGCCTCCAGGCTGCATTCAGGACATGATATTTTCCAGGACCCAGTGAATGCCTGAGCAAAGGGTCGTGTGCTCACTGGCAGGGTCAGGCACTTGTGGGAGGGGGTGGGTGGGGCCAGGGGCTGCCTTCCACAACTTACAGTTCTAGGACTTCACAGACACCCTTATTGTGGCTGTGGGCAGCCACCAGCTGTGCTGGGGCAGCTATCCCCAGCAGCTTTTCTGTGCTATAGGTACGAAGGCAGTGTCAAGGAGGCAGAGTCAAGCTGCCTGCCTGCTGGGGGCAGGGGTGCCCACTCCTTGTGACTGAGGGAAGGAGAAGGGAGGCAGTGCCGTCACAGCACTTCGTCCTCCACGTTGGGGTGTGGGCTTTTTAGCACGCATTTCTGGGCAAAAAGATACCTCAAGTGTGCTTTTTAAGCTGCCACCCCCTCTTCACAAGCCTTCTAATTAATGTCTACTATGTGAATTATTTATTGGGAACAGATGTTAGTGGTTTAGAGTATTGAGTGAAGATCAACTAATCAATTGATCAATAAGATCAATTGCTAATCAATTTATTTGAACAGGTTTAAGAACTTACTACAAACCGAACTGGAGATTTCCATGGCCCTGGAAGCCCAATGCTCCCACCAACCTGTGCTGTATTTCCAGCTCACCACCCCCGCCCCCTCTAGCCTGCTGCCTGATCATTCACTTTCTCCATCCCCACCAAGGAGTCTACTCTTACTGGGATTCTAATTTGATCTGAAGAAAGAATTGTCTTTCTCTAACCAGAAAAGATGAATCTCAGGCTAGGCCGTTAAAACATGCATCAAGAAGTAGCCTTAAAACCTAAACGAGCAGGGCTGCAGAGTTACAGAACCCCATGTGTACCTCCCTGAAGGGCTCTTCTCATGCGGGCAGTCAGGGGAAGCTGGGGTATGCTTGTCCCTCCAGCCCTAAATCCACAGCAAACTCAGGGGTGGGCTGGCTAAGTCCCGGGGAAGCTTAAAGCATTTGGGGGTCAGGGTGTGGGCTATAAATGATCCAAACAGGCAAAAGCCCCGTTCTGTGGTCAAGTCTGCAATCTCAGGTTTTCCTGCCCAATCAGGGTGAAGGAAAGGAAGGCAAGGTTTCCCCAGCGACCTGCTCTTCTCTGACTGCCTGCCCCCAGTTTGGGGGGCTACCCTAGATCTGGAATTACTCCTGGCAGGTGAGAGACTGAGGTGTTTTGGAAGCTCACAGAGATTCCCAGGTCTGCTACAGCCCCATTGCATCCGCCAGCAGCTGCCCTCTGGCCTCAGTGGCTCTGCCTCGGCAGAGAAACAGTCTAAAAGGCAGACACAGTGGGCAGGAGCAGGTAAATCCTGGCCGGACGAGCCCCTCTACCACATGACGAATCTTCCTATCGCCCCAGCACCAATCCCACCTAGAGTCATGGTCCAGAATTCTCTGATGGGTCCATAGTCTAAGGTTTTGTGGTCTCAGGGTAAGAGCATCTCCTCCTGTGAGTCCACCTTTACTTGAGAGGCCTGAGCAAAGAGGGGCCCCAGAGAAGGGTAGCTTTACTTCTATCCAGACCCCCAGGGGTAACCACTGTCTCGGGACTATGTTTTGAGGTGAGTTTCTCACTGTCTCGTATTTGTGGCTAATGTTTATCTGTGGGCCCCGCTGTAAATACTAGAGACACGCATCCAGGGAAGGAGGAAGACTCTGCAGTAACAGGAGATGTGGGGGCCAAGGGAGGGATGGATGGATGGATGTCTTGGGCACAGAGGACATACAAGGACCACAAAAACAAAAGTCATCATTTCAAATAGCTGACATCCAGGTTCCATTTGACCTCATGCACAGGTAAGGAGCCTTTTTTGCTTCTCCAAAAGGAGATTTGTGGTCCTGGAGTTGAGGAGAGAAATATCATCCCCACTTCTTCCCAGGCAGAGATGTGAGGGGCTAGAGGGCTGGGGGCTCTACCTCTGGCTGAAGTCTAGAAGGAATCATGACTATGACCCCAGATGTGACAGTCTCCCTTGGCCTTGTCTAGTGTTTGATTAGTTGTCACTCTCACCAATTGCAGGGGTCCCTGCAAGATGAGCTCCTGCTCCCAGCCCCCAACATAGATCCCAACAGGGACCACTGTCCAGAATTCTCTGATAATTCTCAGTTTTGGGGGAGTGGTCTAATCTTGCTTCTTATCTGCCTTTGGAAAACCACTGTCCCTGTGGGATGGGGCTGCACTGAGCTGGGAGAACCCTCTTCAGTCCCCACATCCGCACGGTGAACTCTGCAGGGCAGGTGAGGTAGTTTGCCTCAGAAGAAGGTCTAGAAAGAGCACAGGTTAACATGATCTCTATATAAGGCTTGTCATGACACCGGGGCCTGCAGCTGTGATCCACATCGGAGAAGATCCCACTTCATAGCTTTTACAGCCCCCACAGTACACATGAGTCCCTATGTTCCTGGAGCAGCAAGCTGTCTCAGGACATTTCGGGGATGGTCTTGTGGGGGCTGCGTTCCCTGGAGACCAAAGGTTCTGCCACGCCAATGAAAACAAGACAAAGCAGAGAAGGGCACAGCATCCAGGGGAGAGAGGCCTGCCACTCCTGGAGAGGGAACAGCTCCAGAGAGCACCGTGGGGTGGACACTGAAGCTGGAGGTTCAAGTCACCAGCAAGGGTACAGGACCTTCATTTCCTTTCCAGCTCTTAGATTCCACCCAAAGTCAGGACCATTTGTCACCCCCCTCAAAGACATTTCCCTTTCAATCCTGATTTCTTTGGGCCAGGCAAGCAGGCCCAGGGCTTCCTTGGCTCCTGTCTATAGGAAGCTAGCCCAGGCTAATCGGGCAGACAAGAATATGTAATGTCTATGCAATTTTTAGGGACTAGGAAGGTACCTTGGGGCAAGAGGGATTTACTGCTAAGGCTCGTAGATAACCCAGTGTCAACCCAGCAATCCTTCACAGTCCAGCAGGAAGGGAACATCCTACCGGCTCTTACATTCCTGAAAGGCACATCCAAGTTATCTACAAGTGTGAGCAAATGAGGCCCACTCAGGCTCCTTCTCCAGTAGTTAAATCTCATGCTGAGCCAACTCCTCGGGTCCATCACGTGATTTCAATCAGCTCCCCAGTGCCTCCCCATCCAGCTGCTGATGTGGATCTTATACACGGGCCTATGGCTTGGGCCTTCAAGATACTGTAAGGATGCACTGCCAATACCAACCAGGTGCCAGCTCAGTGCTGGGCTGCAGAGACCCAGAGATGAAAGAGGCCATCAGGGAATCTCTCTCAAGTTGGAAAATCAGGTATTGACTACAAGGGGACAGCGTCACCTTGGTGACCTTGTATGTTTCCACAGAAGCCACACAGGCAAAGTCTTGAACCACAGCTAAGCTGAGTCCTGGCCTGATGCCTTGTGATCATCCCAGAACCAGAGGATGGAAGCCTACTTCAAAAGACCACCCCCACGCCCCTCACTTTCTCCCCAGGAAGGTTGTCATGAGGCAGTTTCTTATCACCTCTGGGTTAGAGAGAATATTGGGGTGAAGAGAGCTCCTTTCTGGAGGCTTGTGATGAAAAAACTAATATGCAAACACTCATGTCTGGGTCAGACACAAAGATTTTCCTGCACTCTGGTTTAATCTGTGAAAGAAAGATTATTTCTCTGAGGCACTTAATAGGGAACCTGCTAAGGCCCAAACTTCCCCTCTTTCTCCATTTCGCTGACAAACAAGATTCCATGGTCAGATAATGTTTTCTCAAAGGATAGCTGAGGACTCTTAGCAAAAAGCTAAGGAGATGACTGGTGCTGGGTGACCTGGAGCACTGCCCTACCCTCTTCCCGTCAAGCCCTCCCCCAAGCCTGCTACACCACAACACCCTCCCTGGTCCTCATGTAATATAATCTTGGAGTTTGTCCGTGTTAATTGATTGAAGTTCGTCGCATTTCCACTTTTCCCACCCCCAGGGCCTCTCTGTTGGAGCTGCCACTGATTTCTGCTCTGTAAGCGCTCCCTCCAGCCCATTCCCTGAAAATGGGCTCCTTCCTGCCTCTTCCTCAAGCCCTCCATGCCAGCAGTTCTTCAAGATGCCCACAGCTGCCCCTGCTGAGCAAGCTCACTTTACAGGAATCAAGTGGTAGGCTGGGCCATATAGCCGCTTAAGAGCAATTTTAAAAGTGATATAGGAGTTGGCAGGTCCCGGCCCCAAGCTCCGGTAATGTTACTGCTTGTTTTTCTTTTCAGCCCCAGATCCTGCACCTCTGAGGCGAACAGCCTCCACCCCAACAACGTATTCCATCTAACTTGATGCCTCCCCTCCACTCAGAAGCCCACAAACCCCGGCTTTAGTCCCANGGGTCTGTACGGACCTCTATCTGAACTCCTGGGCCCGGGGCTGAGGACCAACTGAGAGGGTTTCCCAAGACATCCCTGATTTCAAATATCCTGTCCCGTCGTCAGAGTCAGCTGCTCTCCCCTGCGCTTCGGAGAACGGCGCCTTTCATGCACTTTCTAAAGGGCTTCAGATTAAGCTCCATAGAAGCAGTTGAGCGTCGCTGCGGAAGGTCCCAGCTAACCCAGATATCTTGATCCACCAGATTTGTCCCTGCGTCGGAAACGTCTGGGGCAGGGGCGAAGGGGAGGGGGCTGCAGAGGCCGGCCCAAGTCTTTGGCCTTGAGAAGGAATGGACAGTGCCAAGGCCGAGGCCGTGGAGTGAGCAGGAGAGAAGAGGGGGGCTGCCCCAGCCCTGCCTTTGCGCCTCGCCCAGTTAGACTGAGAACCCTGCCCAGAAATTTGGGGCACCTTCCAGCCCCTCTCAGCTCTGAACCCTTTCGTTTCTCTCCATTCACCTTGAAGTCAGAGATCTCCTTAGCTCCCGCGAGGAAAAAAAAGACGCGGACCGTCGCGTTTCTCCACCAGCTCCCTCCTCCCTCAGGGGGCGGGCTGACTGCATTTCCCTCCGTGTTCTGTTACAGACAGAGCCTCGGAGAATGCGCTGCCCCCCACCCCCCAGCACCCCTTCCCTCCCTGGCCTTCTTCCTCAGGTATCTCTTCTTCCTCAGCTGAGGAGACAGAGCAGCTGAGTGAAAAGACAATTTCCTTTCCGTCTAACCGCTTCTAATAGGAACCTGGAGGAAACGGAATTTAATAAACAGAGTGGTCGCAACCAACCTCTGCCGTACTTTCCCACACCCTACCCCACTCCATCATTACTTTCTAATTACTGAAGACCTTTTACAAAATGTAAAGCAAATTAACTGCAGCAATTGAGGCAAGCTAAAGATGGCTCTGAAATTATACCATTGTCAGTGTAGACCCATTAAAACAAAACTGTCCGATGTTTTCATTGATGATCCCAATCCATCCACTTGCAGTAATCTCCTTCCTCCCCTCCCACCGAATCCATCTACCACAGTTATTACTCTCATAGAAAGTCGTGATAAATTGCGAGGAGTGTACCCCAGAAAAGCGAAGGAAGGAGGAATTCATTTTTAGTTAGAGCTTGGACTTTAAAGTAGCGAGAGTTAGAGGGACTTACCTTTAAAGCGCAGATGTGTGTTGTGATGCTCTGAAGGGGGGAAAGGCAAAGAGATATAGAGAAAAGGTGGGGAGTTTTCTCCAGGGCTTGTGGCGATTAAGTGAACGTGGTCCTTCCACACAGAAACCAGAAGGGCAGGGCCCCAGGAAAGAGGAGATCTCAGACTAGGATGGAAGTGCATTGCTCTTGTGTGTGGGTGAGTTAAGTGAGTGGGTTTGAATGGAGCTGCAAGGGGGAATTAGGCTGGGGCTTGAGAGGGGGAAATTAACAGCCTCCCAGATTCTTTCCTTGAAAGAGTCCATTTCAGATCACCTGAAGACAGGCTCTCGATTCCCTTATGTCACTTAAGGGAGTGTCCTCAGGGATCTTGGTAATGATAGAAAGGGGAAGATGCCTGGTGGAGGGCTTAGCCAAGTATTAGTACTGGATAACCAGGCTTGGGGGGGTCCAGATAGCAAGGCCCCAGCAGGAGGACTTCAGAATGCAGGGAGCAGTTGCAGAGCTTGGGTTCCCTCCCAAGCTCTCTGCCGGCTTCCTGGAGGGACCGGGTCAGGAAAGCTCATGTCGAGGGGCAGCTCTGTTTCCTGGCTGGTGTACACTTTGCATTAAAAAACAGAGGACAAGGAGCGTCCGTGGTGCTTCTGGAAGGGAATCAGAAGCTATAAACTAGAGGCCAGAACTGATGGGATCTTTGAAGAGCCTGTATCTTAACACTTCTGAATGTTTCTATTTTGGTCAACACTTTTCTTTAAAAAAAAACCCGGAAAAAAGGTGCAAGAAAGGGGACCCCTTCCAGGGCCCAAAACTGGGCTCTTGTCTAACACTCGGAAATGAATTGTCCGAGGAGACACATGTGCTGACAAAGCAAGAGATTTTATTGGGAAAGGGCACCCGGGTGGAGAGCAGGAGGGTAAGGGGACCCAGGAGAACTGCTCTGCCTTGTGGCTCGCAGTCTTGGGTTTTATGGTGATGGGATTAGTTTCCGACAATCATTCCAATTCAGAGTCTTTCCTGGTGGCGCACACATCACTCATCCAAGATGGATGCTAGCGAGAGGGATTCTGGGAAGTGGACGGACAGGCAGGGTCTCCTCTCGACCTTTCCCGAACTCTTCCGGCTGGTGGTGGCTTATTAGTTAAAGGGGACCCAGGAGAACTGCTCTGCCGTGTGGCTCGAAGTCTTGGGTTTTATGGTGATGGGATTAGTTTCCTGGTGGTCTTTGGCCAATCATTCCAATTCAGAGTCTTTCCTGGTGGCGCACACATCGCTCATCCAAGATGGATGCTAGCGAGAGGGATTCTGGGAAGTGGACGGACAGGCAGGGTCTCCTCTCGACCTTTCCCGAACTCTTGTGACTGGTGGTGGCTTATTAGTTCTGTATTCCTTATCAGGCTCTCCTGTCATAAAACAACTCATGCAAATGGTTACTATGGTGCCTGGCCAGGGTGGGCGGTTTCAATCAGTGTGCTTCCCCTAACAGATAGACCTTGAAAGTGAAAGTCGTTCAGTCGTGTCCGACTCTGCGACCCCATGGACTCTCTATAGTCCATGGAGTTCTCCCGGCCAGAATACTGGAGTGGGTAGCCTTTTCCTTCTTCAGGGGATCCTCCCAACCCAGGGATTGATCCCAGGTCTCCCGCATTGCAGGCGGATTCTTTACCAGCTGAGCCACAAGGGAAGCCCAAAATGTACAGCAAGGAAGTGGGGAGCAGAAAGACCGTCCCGTCCTTCTGGTCGCTAGTCTTTGAGTAGAGTTAGATTCCTCTCAAAATGGGAGGGACTGAACCTTGGGGGCCCACTGTATAAAGAAAGCAAGCTGGGTTGGAGGAACTGGGCAGCAATGGGTGGTCTGCCCCTGTTGATATCACTGGTGGCCGGCCACTGATCACAATGGAGAAATCCAGGAACAGAGGATTTTGCAAAGAGGTCTGGGCACCAGGAGTGACAAGGGAAGGAACGAGGGGATTGGAGCAAGTGAAAAGCAAGGTTGTGATGGAGTAAATTTAATCTCTCCCTCTGATTCGTTCTGTGAATTTGCAAGACTGTTGGCTCCTCAGGAGTTGCCGCTTGGTCTTAATTTCCATTCCTGGTAACTCTCAGCCAGGTGCCTGCAGCACTAAGTTAAATTTTACTTAAACTATTAAATTTGCCTTCAGCGGTATATTTGCAAGCTCATTCTTCCAGATCTCAGCTTATTCTTTTTTTTTCCAGTCATTTTAAAGGGATTCTCTCAGACTCTCTGTTGGCTATGGGAATTGATCTCACAGTCCTTGAAACTTCCTTCCAGAATTCTCAGGAAATGGAGCTCAATGCCTTGTGAGCTGCTTAATTCTCTTCAGAATTAGCGTTGTCTCATAATATGCATGTTTGTCCTCTGAGCGTGGGTGAAATGCTCTGTATGTTAAAGATGGTATATAAAATTCCACAAAATGGCTTTGATTATAATAATTATTCCCTGCCAAACCTAGAAGGGTTAAATCAAGGCAGGTAGCTGGAAGGCAAGGTCCAAATCAGAGAGAGAGTTTTACCAGAAGTTTACAACTGGGCTTATAGCATGGCAATAGGAAACTCACCTCCTGAGTTGAGGGCTGACTGGGGCAAAGATTTGCCAAGACTTCGGACACGCTACCCCACTCTCTCTCCTGGCCCCTCCCACACCTCAGGCATGCTGTCTGTCTAGAAGCTGCATCCCTGGGGTGTCTCAAACCTCAGACTCCTCCAGCACTGGAGCCACCAGGGCCTGCTTTCTGTTAATCATTCAGATTGCTCTTTCCGGGCCGCAGTCTTGCCTCAGGGTGGCCATTAAGAACGTTACTTCCTAATTTAAGCTCAAAATACAGTTCTGTGGGGGTTTAAGCACAGAGGGACCTGTGCTCATATCTTGATAAATTGTAAAATATCTCCCCCACATCTCCCTGTCTCACTCCTCCCGCTTCCTTGTTACCATTGCAAGTCTGGCACATAGTCTTTCAAAGAAAAAATAGAATTAAAAAAAGGAAGAAAAGAAAAAAATGAAAAGCTTATTCTTTCTAATGTCCCCTAACATTTAAACACACACACATACACATGCACAATTATACACTTAGTGTATTTTTTCAGGGGAAATGGCACCCTTAAGGATCAACGTATGATCCTAAGGGGTCATATGTTGGCCTGATTTTGTTGCCTACCCTTGAAATGGGAATATGGATTTATTTGAACAGACTTTGAACGTGACCCTGAGAAGAACTGCTCTGGCATTTGACCGGTCGGAGCGTGGAATAGAGGGCTCTCTGTAGCCGGATGACTCACTCCAGAAATTGTACCTGCTGTTTGGGGGGGATGGGGAGTTACTTTTTATAAACAAAAATCCAGAGAGCAGTTTCAACATTTGTCAGTGTATCAACAAGGTTGAATACAAACTGCACCAAACTTGCCATCACTGGAGACACTCTCTGAGATGCAGCTGAGCCGGGAGGAGCCCGCTCCAGAGCACCCTGGTCTTTTCCCACAGCCTGACTTCCCTCCTCTCCTCTCTGAGCTGGACGATGGGGTAAAGCCCAGAGCCTGTCTGGTACAACCCTGTTATTTTACAGATGAGGAAACTGAGGCCCAGAGAGGGATTGCCCTTGCCCAATCCCGCGTCCTTGACACTTTTCTCTTCTGCCTTCACTCTCTGTACTTTCCAGTATGAATGACACCAACCTTAGCTCTCTCTAGTGCCATGGTAAAAAAAAAAGCAGGTCTCTGTCCCTCCTCTCAAGCCCCTCCCCATCACTCCACCACTGTGAGTACTGAGGTACTGGTCCCCAC